CACTGTTCATGCATTTAGACCATTCCTGTCTCGGGCATCTTCTGTGATGTGTTAAAGCTGCTGAGAGGCCACGGCGTGTTGAGAAGAGCCTGACTGACTTGTTCATCTAGTTTTTCTGAGCCAGAAGAGGAGAGACATCGTTCAGAGTTCAAACACTTAGTGGAAACATCAATATGCTCCAAACAAGCCAGTCAAGCTGTTATTTGTGTTTGTTTTTGTCCCAATTAGGGGGCAGAGAGTTGGTCCTGTCAGGTGAGCGAGGCGCATCTGAAAGTGGGGTGAGACGGATGCTGATGAATGGCGTCGTTAAGGGAAGATGAACTGTGTGTGAGACTGCGACGGCTCAGAGATGGATCGATACACCAGCAGCAGAGGAAACTCCTCCTCGCTCCTTTAAGGCTTTTCCATAATGCACGTGTCATAATTAGCTGTGAGGAAACAAAATTTCTGTCAGTCTGAGCAGAACCAGGAAGTTTACCAGCTTCCTGTTTCCTTTGGATCGCTGCTGATCTGAGCTTGTGACAGTCGGACTCAGCTGGATGGTTGGATCTCTGACTCACATCCATACGAGTCCGTCTCTTTGTCTAAAAACTCCCTCCTGATGTTTCCAGCTCTCAGACACGTTACCTGCTGTTGCATCATCTTTACTGTCTCATTCACCTGCAGTAAAACCTCGCCTTTCCTGTTGTTTCAGCTCATCCTCAGTCAGAAACTGGCTTTCTGGGTAAAATTACATCTAAATCCTCAGACTGAAAAAAAATAAATGCATACATGTAAAGTACAAGTCACAAGTACACACAGGAGTTTAGCACGTGACCAATCACACAATAAAACCCCAAAATAAGCTTTCATTACAAAATAAAAGCTTCCCCATGAGGAAAAGCTGTAGTTTTACAAAATAAAAGTCTGGAAAAGGATAAATATGGAAACAAAAAACAAATAAATGAAAGTAAACGTGTCTAAAACTGGAGTCACAAAATCAAACTTCTGAAAATATTAAAAATGATTCAAACCTAAAAACTGCATTCCTCATAAATGAATGAACTAACGAAAGCAAAACTCCTCAGATGAGAAGCGAAACGTCTTCAAGAAACCAAAGAAGTCCAGCTGCCTTCATTTGAACCCTTTGGATTACCAGGATCTGGATGACTGAGAGCCTTCACCAGCATGAAGACGGCAGTTTACACAATAAGGTTTTTTAAAGAAAAGTCCAAATTAGAAATCCCAAGAAACAGCCATAAATCATATCAACTCATCTTTAAAATAATATTTGATTTTTCATTCATCTGATTTGAATTAATCATCTCATTTCAGATGCGTGAGATTATTCAGGACCACGAAACTCCTGGTGTGTTTGCTGCTTTCCTTCTTCTGGACCCTTTATTCCATCGAGTCTTTAGACTTTAGAAACATCAGCGACTTGATGTGAAGCAAATTAAAATAGTTTTTTCTAACTTCAGGTATGAAAACTACAGAAATAAGCTATCATTATTGTTCCTTTTATTCACCTTTCTGCTTAAATCTTCTGTACTTTTCTGCTGAGATTGAAGACGTGGATTCGTATTTCACACCTAACCAGAGATTATCTGTTGAAGATGAGCTTTTCTGGTGTTTACATTTTTACTTTAAACGTTTGGAGGATGTTAGCTAATCCGACATCCATCAGGAACAACCCACATCTCCCTCTGCACGAGTCCTCCAGTCACAGACTGGTACACCCCCGTAGATCATTCACTCCGACAGCAGTCAGGGTTCATAACACATGATGATGTCATGAGTCACCCAGCCACTTTAACCGTACGGTTCATGCTTAACACACCTGGTTTATGTACATCTGTACATGCGTGCTCACATGTTCATGTCTGTATTTACAGCTAATCATCAGCAGAACAGCTGATACTTTTTATTTATTATTACTTCCCCAATGTTTCACAACCCTCTATTCATAAGGCTTACTGTGTGTGTGTGTGTGTCTACATAGGAACTACTGTTGGATACAGTGTCTTGTCTTTCTTATTTGAGCACTCTTGGTCACTTTTGTACTCCTTTGCCACCTGTCTGAGCTGTGGAAACGCACACATCTCCCCACTGTGGGATCAATAAAGCCTTTGCTTATTTTAACAAAAATTCGTTCAGGGTTGTGCAGCTGTTTGTCTTCGTGTTCCTGTGAAAAATCCACAGGTTTCTGCCAAAACAAAATGAAAGCATTCCAGTTAAAACGTAATTCCTAAATGGAGACGTCCGCATGGCCCAGCACCAAACTGTCCAAGTGCTTGACTCTCCCTGCCGGCTCTCGTCACACTGAAACTCACAACCCGGAATCAGTCGGCAGGGAAGCTGGTTTGGAAACATCTGCAGGAGCACGAGGTGTTACTTCTGCACAAACACACAGCTGTTAAACTACGGAGGACAAAGACAGGAAGTTCTGTGAATCTTCTCTGGATCCAAAGATCTGATCCGCAGGAGGAGATGCAGCAACAGGTTTCCAGCCTCCGTGAGCCCTGAACATAAAACAAACATATAAAACTAGGTCAACGTTCAGCATCACTACTTTAGTACCTTATTCATTCCATTAGTTGTACAGTATATTAATGTGAGTTAATGTCAGGTTATAATAGTCATTGTCATGATTTTTTACTTTACCTTTGTGTGAAAGCTCTTGGACTAAACTAGAACCCCTCACTGGTCTGATGACTGGTGTCCAGCTGGAGACAGGATCATCACACCGATTTAAGCACTGTAGCGTTTGGTTCACATGCAGCGTGGGATGTGTTTGCAAACAATAAACAACAGTCGTGCAATTTTTTGTTGCTGTTTAATCTGTCAGGATTTTGTCTCAGATTCTTCATTTAGCCTTCTTTTGATCCCGGTTTGGTCTCCAGTGTCCCCCGAAGTGGTCTGGTGTTCCCGACAGGAGTTGCGGTAAAGACTCAGGCGGGACTTTCACAGGCGATTCTCGGCACAATTTCCTTTTTCTGTGTGAAACATTTCAGGCCGAGTCACACTCACCAGAAGAAGTAGAATATAACCCAAGAATGTTTAGAAACATTTTGGGAAATCCATCAGGAGATATTGGGTTTGCTGAAGCCTGTAGATGGTGAACTTAACCTTTAACCTTTCTAACTGAGGGTCTGACACGGAGCTTTCTGAGCATTGACCTCTGACCTCAGAGTAAACCTGCCAGGACATCCACACCTGAGAAAATTTAAACATTGTCCACTTCTCTTTTTCTTCTTTATTTTTTTGGGGGAATTTACTCAGTAATGTTCAGACGTGACCTTTGACCCTTGGCTACTATTATTAATCTTTACTGACTCCACTGCTCCTGACTAAACTAGAAAATCAACATTTTGCTCCTAATCTTCATTTCAGAATAAAACTTTCCCTCCTGAGATAAACTTCTGCTCAAGAAATAATAAATTAAATAAATCAGAAAAACTTAATAAATAAATACAGTAAAAAAAATAATAAAGGCCATTAAATGCAAATTGTGATGGAGTTTCTCAACCTATGGGACATTTTTCTGCTCTTTTCTCTTCTGCTGCATCTTACTTTGTGTTGCCCCCCCCCCCCCCCCCCCCCCCCCCCCCCACACACACACACACACACACCTAAAGAAAGTCAGCTTCCTAATTCTATCCTGTCAGTTGTTATTAAGATTTATGTTTTCCCGGGATCATCCGAGAAACTCAAGGACATTGGAGCAGAATCAGCGATGTGGAGATGACTGCTGCCTTTCAATCTGACGACACTCAGACCCAGATGATGAAGAGCACTTCTCCAGATAAAAGACTCCTTATGACTCCCCAGCTTATGACTGTGAAGTTGAGTGATGAAGTGGAGGAGAGGAAGCTGTCAACAAAGAAATTAATTCACTTTTGCTCGCAAGCCGACTCTTTCTAGGAACGTGATCTAGTTCCACTCCTGGAGTTGTTGATCCTCTAAAACGAGGATGGGCAGCATCGTGTGGAAGTTTCCACATTACCACGTTTGGATTAATATTTATTTATTTATTGCGTTCCAGCATGTTACCATTCACGTAGACAAGGGCAACCTCACGCAGACATAAAATCAGCAGATTTCTGTGTGAGATATTAAAAACATTTGTTTCCAGCTGGACCCGGAACGAACCCGAACGCAGCTCTTAAACTGTAGCAGAATCATTTCCTCTGGAAAGCTGCAGATTTATGGATTAATCTGAGTGTTGTTTCCAGCTGGACTTGGTGCGTTTGAGGGTCACGGGAAACAAGATCTTCAGCTGATAAATGACCTCGACCCGTTCCAGACGGCGGAGCTGCTGTTTGGGTTTATTACTGCCTTTAATCACCCTCGTTGTTCTTCGTGGACCTTTATCGTCATCCGAAGCTTCTGGATTAAAGACTTGTCCAGCTTATCCAGAAATATGAGAACTTTGGGTCCAGTAAAGGGAACGACAGAGATTCACTAAGGCGTTCCACTGACTGTAGAAGCTCCGCCCACTGGAGCTCCGCCCTCAGTGATATGAAATGAAACTGTAGCTGCAGCCTCCTTCAGAACCTCTCGGTGCTTCAGACTGATGATAAAGTTTCTGTTTGAAGAAGATGATGCTGCAGCAGAGGTCCTCACCTCCAGACCAGGACCTTCAGACATGAGATCAGCTGTTGTTTCCTTTAGTTTCTGCTTAACCTGCTGCTGGTTATATAAATAATATATATTTACATAAAATTCTTCTTGTATTGAAATATGTTGACAGCTGATGACGACCCACACGTGGTTTGTGGTGTCATCTTTTTGATGTGTTTGTGCCGTTTGGGCTCCTGACACCAACAGGACGTTCGCTTTAGTTTCTGCTCCTCAGCTGATCTGCATGAAGGTTCTGATGAAGCTGAGCAGATGACGATGTTCATACATCAGAGGACTTGTACTGTTTGCAGATTGTGTGTTCACACTCGAGTGGCCGCGTGAGAGCGGCCTTCGGAGCCTGATGAAAGTGTTTGTGTGACCTGCTGCTTGTCTTTCAGGCTTCGACGCTTACTTCACGTCACGGACTCTGGAGAACAACAGGAGGAACGTGTGGTTTGCTGAGTACTGGGAGGAGAATTTCAACTGCAAACTGATGAGCTCCTCCAAGAAGGACGACAGCAGCCGGAAGTGCACAGGTGAGCTGCGATGGGGCTGATCTTATTTATACAGATTCTGTCACTAAAACATTTTTAAAGGTACAGTCTGAGCTTTGTTTCTGGAGCATTTATTGCCTCATCGCTTGAAATGCTTGTTACACACCGATGGCAACTAATGAATTAAACGTTTTGTCAAAAAAAGAAAAACTGTAATCACCTCTGAGGCGTACAATCCTGGAAAAACTCATCCAACCTGGCACTGGCCCCATAGCTGTATCACTGGATCATAACCTGTCCATCAGACTGCTCCTCTGAATGCCTCTCATGCCACGCCGGGTGGCCTAGTGTCACGGAGGGAATGTCTCGTTCTGTTTACGTCGGATTTAACGAGCTGCTCTATGTTTGGTTGAGAGTCTGGCTCCGTTCTCATTGGGAAGGGCTGGGCAACGAGGCTATTCTCTGGAAAGGCAGCGAAATCCCAGCTCTGCCACCTCTGTGAGACAAAGTGTGTGTGGCTGCTGAGGCTGGTCTAGGACCGGGTCTGTGGGTTTATCCCTGTAGAGAGGGATCTCTGTATTTCTCAGAGTAAATAGAAACTTCTGAGCCTTTCTGGAGTCGGATCAATAATCTTTGTAATTAGTGAGCCAGACTGAAGGTATGAACAGGCTCTGAACACTAATGAACCTGTTCTCTTTAGAGTATTGATCCAGAGACAAAAGAACGAATTATCTTGTCGGACTTTATTCTTCCTTGTGTTGCTCTGCTTCGTTACAATCAGCCTCCTCCATTATTCCCTGTAATTTCCTTCTCTGAATGATTGATTTTTGAAGATATGAACTTTAGAAGCGTTAAAACAACCATCTGTATTCATTTGCTTGATCTGTTGTCAGAATTCCCATTTCCTTGAAACCATTTGTTCTCCTTTGTTTGCTGGGACATCCCTCCCTCGCCACCTTTTAATCCAAACCAGCGAGACGCTGGGATCATCTCCCCCCAGAACTAAACATGCAATTACACAATGAAACCGCCTCCTGCGCCGTTTCAGGAGGATTGATTCCAGCAGCAGCGAGAAGACCAGACACCAGCTGGGAACTTTATTCTGAAGAGTCATTCAGACTCTGACGGAGAGAAGTGGCGTCAGCTGCAAGCACGTCAGGCTACACGAGGAAGGTCAAAGGTTGGACCCAACATGGAGGAACTGTCATTTATATCCAGAACCCAGAGACTTTAGTCACAAACTGGACCCACCCACAGGGAAGGAGATATCAGCGGCAAGCCCACAGGCCCGCCCGCTGAGCCCGGGACCCAGCGACCCGGGACCCAGGGGCGACCACCCCCGCCTGGGACCCAGCAGAGCCCAGGGACCCAGACCCCACCAGGCAGCCACCGGGATTGGTCAGGCAAGCGCCAAAGATCTTAAACCCCCTGACCCGGGAGCCACGAACACTCAGGCAGACCAAGGCACCACACCCCACACCAGGTGTAGCAGGAGGAGGGGGACAAAGATCTATATCATAAAAAGAAGTCCCAGGAGTGGGGAGGAGTCAAAGGCCCCACCTGACATATACAGTCATACACAAACACAGTCACACACTCCCTCCCTCATGCTCACACATACACATAAAACCAAAGACTTACAAAAATGCACGCCGGACACCCACTCATGCTCCCCATACACACCCTATTCACTCTGGTCCCGGTACTGCTGCACATGGCGTACAACCATCGCCGGTTACCAGAGATTGACCCTTTCTGCTGGGGTGCTGATGAGCAGGCTCCCCCGCCCAACGCTGAGCACAGCAACCCACCACCCCAGAACCCAACCAGATGGCCAGATCTCCCTCCTAGCCTCGAGCCCTGGGAAGCCAAGCGACAACAGAGGTGTGCTAAGACCCCTAGTCTCCCTCCGCCTGCTCCAATATGGTGTTAGTGAGTGTTGATGAGGTGTATTCCATGGCTGTGGTGAACGGGCAGTGCGGCCATCGTCTGGCCTATGCCAGCTGATTCCACCACACCACCCCATTTGCACCCACAGCCCTCTGTGTCTAAGTGCAGTTTAAAATTGGAAGTGGGCACCGGCACTTGGGATGAGGCTGAGAAATCCTCCTGCCAATGCCGTTGAATGTGCTCACTCCCAAGGCCCTAAGTGTGTGTTTGCGTGGAATGTTGTTGGTGGAAGTGTATAAGGTGCAAAGAAAATTGGGGGCAAGTTGCCACAGGAATGCGGAAATGGGGTCCATACCTGCACTCCCTGACTTGTCCACCCCCCAAGGTCCTATGTGCATGTGTGTGTGATGATGTGAGGGAGCAGGAGGAGGGAAATGTGTGGGGATGGGGAGGAATGGCTGGTTGGGCTTAGCCCTCCAGGGAGCCAGCTCCCCCACTGGCCCCAATAGGCACCTCTGTTGTCAAAATGCCACCCAGAGCATGGAGACCCCAGCCCATCCTGCCAGAGCCCAAAGCAGCAGCATCACAGAGCCTCACGGAGTCCGAGGGCACCAACCCAGCCCCACCCCAGCAGAATATCTATGCCCATCCCTGCATTTGCACAACTTCCGGATTATAAAATACATAGGACATCCAGGTAAGGTTGGGTCCACCCCCTCCTGGACTTCCCCCTCCCCTGTGATGGGACAGCAGAGGAGCCAAGGTCTACCTGAGGCCCCTGAACCCGAGTCAGGCACTGCTGCATGTTCCTGCCTTCTCCCCGGCAGCATACATGTCAGGACCCAACCCCCAAGGTCTGGTTTAAATCAGACTGAAGCCCTTGAGCTCGTCTGAATGAACAATCATGCATGATGCTGCAGTGCATTCTGGGTAATTTAAGCTGCAGGTTTTTCACCACAAACAGAACACTGGATTGTTTTGTGGCTCTTTGTGTAACGAGCTGACATTAAACATTTATGTTCTGGCACCAGCTCTATTTGGCTCCTCCCCTCTTGAAGCTGTAGCCCCTCCCCTTCTTGCAGCAGCAGGTTGGCTCGTTGGTTGGCACATATTCACAGCCGGTCTGTAGCCATGATAGCATTCTGTTCAGCGCACCCTAATGGCTGCGATCCAGATAAGATTATCCCAATAGCTCTGATGGGAATGTGTGACTGAGGAGGAGAGATATGAGCGGGTCATGGAGACGGGGAGGGCTGAGGGGCTCGTGCTGATGAGATAACATTAAGCTGTTGGTCACTTTGTCTCGGGCGAGGAAATATAGGAGAGTGGAGCTGAGAGTCATGCCTCTGAAGGATTTCTGCTCAGAGATCTCATCAGCTCCTGCTCCCATCTGCAGCCACATGGCTGCAGATCTGCTGGGTAATAACTGCTGAGAGCTGGACTCAGAACAGTTTCACACACTCCAGCTGAAGCTCAGAACACCTGGAGATCAGTGGGGAGCCCAAACATCAGCCATCATGAGGTCTGACTTCATCTGTCGGCTGAGGGTTCTCTGCTGCTTCTGGTGAAGCAATACATCCCAGCTGGGAAGAAACCAGCAGTGAGCTGCAGGTTCTGAAGTTAAAACAAACCAGCAGCTCCAACTGGGCTGGAACCAGGAGGAACCAGTTCTAGAGACCTGGACCTGAGCCCAGATTACAGCAACACCAGATCCTTGGTACATCAGAGGGTTGGAACCATCAGCTGATTTAATACTGAGTGTGTGTGTGTTTGTGTGTGTGTGCGTGTGTGTTTGTGTGTGTGTGTGTGTGTGTGTGTGTGTGTGTGTGTGTGTGTGTGTGTGTGTGTGTGTGTGTGTGTGTGTGTGTGTGTGTGTGTGTGTGTGTGTGTGTGTGTGTGTGTGTGTGTGTGTGTGTGTGCATGAGTGTATGTGTGTGTGTGTCTGTGTGTGTGTGTGTGTGTGTGTACATGCGTGTGTGCGTGCATGCATGCTTATGTGTGAAGTTAAGATCTGCAGCTGATGTCTGCAATAGTCGTGATAAATGATAAACGACCCACACTTGTACAGCACCTTTCAGAGTCAGAGGACTCCAAAGCGCTTTACACTACAGTGAATCATTCATCCATTCACACCGATGATGATGATGATGATGAGCTACAGTTTAGCCACAGCTGCCCTATGGTGCCATGACAGCTGGTTATACCAGGTTTGGAGATTTAAAAGATTCCTTTATCCGTCTCCATGGTAACCGATAAACCCACCTTATTTGTCTCTATGGCAACAGATGCTGTGAAGCCACCAGAGCTGGATCTGTATCAGAGAGAATCTGGTGTGGAAGCAGAACTTTAAATTTAGGTTTCTTTGAACAAATATTGTTTGTTTTCTATTTCCTACTGACTCAATCAGACTGAAGCTTTTTCTCTATCTGCAGCTCAGAAATCATTGCATCTCCTTCACCTTTACACTTCTGTGATGTTAACCAGATCTATATTCCGTTCCTGTTCTCTGGTTCAAAAGCAGAATTAGCTTTTGTAGTGGAACTCGACGAGGGTCAGTATTTGAATTACAGCAGATTAGTGCTGAATGCCCTGATGACCACAAGCAGCTTCCAGGTAAAAATATCTGAAACCATCCAGAAACTTCCTTATGTCTTCAGATCAGTTGTACTGGAGCATTACGACTTCCTCTTTTCCTCTCATCTCACTGCGACTTTGTCTTCCTCATCAGAGCTCCACCTTCAGGACGGCTGGAGTATCGTGTTTCTACCTGAGCTTATCCAGGTAGCTAACAGCTGTAGTCCAGGGATAGGAAGCTTCAGTCCAGCACGTTTTAGAGGTGTCCCTGCTTCAACACACCTGATTTTAATCAGCAGGTGACTAGCAGGTCTTCACAGAGGCTGATGAGCTGCTAAACAAGTGAATCTACTGTGTTGAAGCAGGAAAACAACTAAAACATGCTAGATAGTGGCTTTCCAGGACCAGTGTTTCCAACCCCTGCTGTAGTCTGTTAGCTGCTGTGATCAGAACCAGTTCATTGGGTCGAGTCAATGCACATAAAACTCTGGGGTAGGTCAGAGACTCTAAACGGACACCTGATTCGATGCTATTAGCTCAGATTATCCACCATCAGATTTGATTCTGTTTTATTTCCTCTCCTCTTTTATTCATGAACTGCAAACAGAGGCACATGACGCTCAGGTGAAACTGTTTTTATAGCAGAAAGAAGCTTTTTGTGTGCAGCTCCTCCTGGCTGGTGTTTGTTCTAAAGGAGGTGAACTGAATGATAATGCAGGCTGCAGCGTCTCTTCTCCTGGTCCGTCCTGCTTCAGCAGGAACAGGAACGTTCTCTGATGAACCCTCAATGGTGATGACTTCATCTGAGCAGCTGGTGTTACCTTTAAAGGATGACTGGACTTAACTGGTTCTGATTCTTGGTCCCAGCCCAACAGAGACATCCCAGCCAGACACGTTTGTCCTCTGATGCTGCTTCCCTGCAGATCAGAACTATTATTAAAATCACTGTCATAAGCCATGGAACTTTTTTTTACCTGGTTAAATGTTAGAGAGCCTGTTTATAAAGGATCACAGTGTAGGGAGACAGTTTATCGACACCGGTCAAAGGGTTTATGTTTATGTTTATGTTTATGTATTTAGCAGACGCTTTTGTCCAAAGCGACTTACAAGGGTTCGTCTTTCTGTGAAAGTCTTTGGTCCATCTACACTTAGACCACATGAAACCATGTTCTGTGATGTTCTGACCCACTTTAACTGTGAGACTGGTGATTAGGGAGGCTGAGGGCCAATCAGATCACGGTATTCCTGCTAACCCCACCTCTTTTGTGTTAAATTCATTGGTGTAAAAGTAAAACAATGTCAGAAATCTGAAACAGGAACAAACAAATCAGTTCAACTGATCAGTGGAATTAAATATAGAGCTCTCCATCTTCACTCATGCAGTTGTTTTAGTTGGATGCTTTTGTGTATCTAAAGCTAAGCAACATCAGTGTTCTGATTGATCACCACGTTCAAGACAAATCTCATTTATCAGTCAGGATGTATGAATCAAACCCTCCTCATCATCACTTCACCTCCTTTTGACTCTTCTCTGGTTTGGTTTCAGGTCAGGAGCGCATCGGCATCGACTCCAAGTATGAGCAGGAGGGAAAGGTCCAGTTTGTGATCGATGCCGTGTACGCCATGGCCCACGCACTGCACAACATGCAGCGGGACCTGTGTCCAGAGGTCTCAGGCATCTGCCCGGAGATGGAGCTCGCTGGAGGGAAGAAACTGCTGAAGTACATCCGCAGCGTCAGCTTCAATGGTGAGTGGACAGATACCCGCGTCCTTCTGCGGCCCATAAAGTCTGCTCTCCGCGCTTCGCTCTAAGCTCCAAGGCCGCAATGCCTCATCGTGAGAAATATTCACCATAACTGACTCTTCTGCTCGTAAATACACGGGCCAGGAGGTCCATCGGAACGAGCTCAGCCTCTTCAGAGGATTGAATGCAGTCCAGATTTAATGAAGGATGTCAGGAGGTTTTGTCTGACAGCTCGACGCTCTGCAGATTTAAAAATGCACCAAAATAAAGCAAAAACAAAGAGTGAAATCCTCAGCATGTCGTAAAGGAGGCGCGGCTGTTCCAGGGCCGGGACTCTCGCAAAGTCCATCAGTCAGCGGGTTTAGATGATGTATTCTCTTTAAGGGCCAATCATTACGCTTTCAGAGCCCCGAAGCACAAAACCAGCGCTCTGAGGTCCATCATTAAGTTGGTGAGCGATTCCGCCAGGCGCCCAGACTTATCTCTCACAACGTTTTTAATTTTATCAGCCTTTAGAGGTGTGTGCGTGTGTGTGTGTGTGCGTGCGTGTGCGTGCGTGTGTGCATGTGTGTGCCTTGTCTTAAGTAATGCTTTTTCTACACAAGAGTTTATTTATTTTTAGGCTTGTAAGGATTTGTAAGTGGTTACTTTTCATAGATTGTCAATAGAAGATAAAGGCATTCAATAAAATGTAATATTCCATAAAATATACATTATCAATATTATGGAGCCTTTAATCTTTGATAGCTGATGAAACTCTGTACTCTGGTTAATCCAAGGAAACGACACTTTATAATAATTTGACTCAGAGACAAAAAAACTCTATTTATTATTACATTAATGATGATAAAAGACAAATGATTATAAAAGGTGACACAGTGATGTTAAATGAGACAGTGAATGAACTCTGATGAAACGTGACCTGGTGTGTTTAAGAGTTTTCTAAGTGACTCAGAAAGGTGTGATATCTGGTTTATTAAATACGTGAAGCTGTTTGTTGGATGTAATTCAACAAGTTATCAGATTTATACCAACCACTCTGACACCATTGTTTAGTCTACACACCCTGGACCATGGAAGCTCTGGAGATCCGGTCTGCATGTGAAGTCATCACTCAGAGCGAGTGGGTGGACTTCTGATGTATCTGAAGGTCGTAGACACCCTCAGCTTACACACGACTGGTCAGAAGATACTTCCCAGGTGGTTTCTGGTGGACGGTTTCATGTCTGATGAGTGGATGGTGGATTGGGCAAAAAATAACTGTTGATTCAAAAGGATGGTTCATGTGCTGCTGAAGTTATTCCACTGAAACATCTGTTTGATTCCCCAGGATGGTCATTTAGCATGCTGGCTGAGCTTTGAATGAACCGAGCTCTGGCTGAACTGGGAAATGGGAAGTGATTTACTTTTAACGAAATGGTTGTTTATGAACTTTGACCAATCAGATCTGAGAAACGTGTCTAGGTGTTCACCAAGACCCTCAGCCACTCCCCTTTCTGTCAAATAATGGCGCGTGTGACCAAGCGTCAAAACATGGCGATTAGGGTGCCCCAGCGCGTCGGGAGAGGACGCGCAGAGACACGCAGGGACACGTGTCACCGGGGTTGTCACCGGGGGTGTCAGTATCTGACGCCCGCGTTGGCACGCACATTATTCCTTGAACCTCTAGCGATTTAACCTTCCCCTCACCCCCATCCTAACCTTAACTCAGTAAGTTCCAATTAAGCTTTGCATGTGCAACCTAGTTAAGGTTAGAATGGGGGTGAGGGGAAGGTTAAGTAGTTCACAAGACAGTCAAATGTCCGTCTCACCGCGGGCGTCACATACCGACGCTGTGGCACAGCGCGTCCCTGCACGTCCTCTCCTGGCGCGCTGGGGCACCCTAATCATCATATTTTGATGCTTGGTCACACGCGTCATTATTTGATGCTTTGGGTGTGAGAATGTGTTGTTCAGGCCCAACAAGTCATCCGAGAGCACCGGGTCAGCCTGCAGCTTTGCTCTGGGGTCAGTTTGCTCCTCGATCTGTCACATCGCAGGTACTTTGGGTTCTGCCGGGTCGAGGAACCAACTCTCAAAGCGTACGTTCTGTGTGCTTGAATTAAAACTAAGGAGATTCAGCTATCCAGTGAAAATCAAAAATGTGAAGGTTCTGCTCCACGCTGCCTGAGGAAGCTGTTAACGGGCGTATTGATCCAGAGGTTCTGCTCCGGGGTCCAGGGATGGAGATAAAGCAGTCGGCTGGAGACGCTGAAGGTGTTCCTGAAACATTCCGACCTGCCCACATTGTTCCTGGCAGTTAAATGGGATCACTGATCAACATTATGGAGACAGATCAATGAAAGTCCTGTCAGTTCAAGTGTCTGCAAGGAGAAAGAGTCCTCCTCATCCTGGGACGATCAATAAAGAGCTGAGTGTGACGGAAAACAGCTTCTGGTGTCTGATGGGTCGGGCCGGGTCAGCTGTTGGAAAGTCGATCACATTTAGTTATTATACATGTTGGTTTTGTTCTAAACATTCAGATTTAAATTTGTGTTTTTGTAGAATAGAATAGAATAGAATAGAATAGAATAGAATAGACGTTGTTGATCCCACAGTGGGGAAGTTCACTTGTTGCAGAAACACCAACACTTAAGAGAATCATTTGAATAACAATAATAACAAAGGTACATGTATTTATACACATAGGCAGTAAGCTAGTGTTGTAACCTTCGATCGCTAAAAGCCACGAACAAAAAATGGAAAACTTGGGTTCCAGCACTATGCAGCAGACTGCAATACACAGACATACGATGTAAATCTGGTATTGAACGAGTATTGAACACATACTGAGTACCGTATTTTCCGGACTATAAGCCGCTACTTTTTTCCCATGCTTTGAACCATGCGGCTTATAATGAGGTGCAGCTTTACTGAAGATTTTCCTTCACCTGCCAGGGGGCGCTTTAGCAGAAAGTCAAACAGGTGGAAGTCAAAAGTGGAAATTGAAGAAAGTGCTCATTTTAATGTAGCACATGCAAGCAGCCGGCACGACGAAGAATTTTTTTCAAATCCATACCCCCTCATCATGGAAACTACACATATGAGTTCATATGTTGCAGCATTTAAGTTGAAGGCCATCGATCTGACAGTAAAGGAGGGAAACAGTGCTGCCGCACGTAAGCTTGGCATGAATGAATCCATGGTTCGGCGCTGGAGACGGCAGCGGGAAGAACTCATTCAAGCCAGCTTCACCCGGGGATGATGACAGCAACACGGACAGCGACAGTGACATCGCCACAGAAAAGGTATGTGACGAAGCTCTTCTGAGGCTGTTCAACTCTGACACTGAAGAAGAGGACTTTAATGGCTTTAGTGCACAAAAGGAAGATGAGAGCGAATGACTTCTTCTGGTAGGCAAGTGTTTTATTTACTAGCCAGGCCTGTTTTGTGTGCAGTTTTTATTTTCTAATCATCCAGGGCTTATTAATGCTGTGTCAGCGCTGTTCTTTTCTACTGTAAGGTTATGAAGTTCATTGTATTAAATGTATGTATTAAAATACAACTTTAGATAGTTACATCACTTTGATTCCGTTACACTACTAAACATGCACGCAAATTACCGGTAATTACGTGTCAGTTCTGTTTTTATTTTATAACCATCCAGAAATATGAATGCTATCAGCGCTGTTTTCTTTTCTAAACTTGTAGGCACGTTCACCCGTGTTTAAAATTCATTTTGTTGAATTAAAACAACAACGAAAAACCTCCGTGTAGCGTCTTTCTGTCTAATTATCTTATGTTATGTTATGGCCGTACATGCACTGTGCCCCGGAGACCTGCATGTGGCTGCTGCGCCACAGCTTGTATTTGAGTGCAGTGTGTGTGTGTGTGTGTGTGTGTGTGTGTGTGTGTGTGTGTGTGTGTGTGTGTGTGTGTGTGTGTGTGTGTGTGTGTGTGTGTGTGTGTGTGTGTGTAAAAAAACTTTTTTTTTTTGTTGGTGCGGCTTATATTGAGGTGTGCTCTATAGTCCGGAAATTACGGTACTGCATTGGTGGTATTGTGTACCAGGATAATGCCAGTACCAGTTAAACTGAGGAGTTCTACACTCTTACTGCAGAGGGGATGAATGACCTATGGTAGCGTTCTGTTTTACATCTGGGATGTCTTAGTCTGCCTCTGAAGGAGCTGTCCATGGTCTCCACAGTGAAACACAGCGGGTGGGAGAGGTTTTTTAACTCATTCACTGCCAGCCGTCTCCTGATCACCAACGACCTCCGCTGCCAGCATTTCTCACCATTTTTACTGTTTTTTAAGAGTCACAGAACGTTGCGCGCTAGCATGATGTCTATGCCAAAACAGCCAAAACAAAGAGGAGACTCACCTCTTACACCAGGAAGAAGCCGCGTGTTTCGAGCGTTATCCGTTCTTTCATAATCCGTTGTCGAATTGTGATCGGCAGACGCTTTTCCGGTTCGCGCCTCACTTTTTTTTACAGGAACGGCCCAAAACGATCTCCAAACACATGGATGTGTTGCTTCCTGATCATGTGATCTGTGACGTATGCGGATGAAGATCGGCTTCTGGGCTGAGATGTTTGTGCGGAACCGGGTCATTGTGAATATTCGGGTTTTAAAAGGGTTACTGGCTGCATGTAAACGCACTCACTGTCACGGAGACTTCAGGGGTGGAAGTGCAGAGGTCCACACACACACACACACACACACACCAGATGAACAGGGAGAGTCTTGCTGAGGTTGACATGGTTTCACAGAAAAGAGACAATAATCCAGGCTTGATTTTTTTAATTAACAAGCATGAATTAAGTCTTTATTCAACTATTTTAAACAACTGAAAATATTTCTGATCAAGTTTTGGTGTCATGAGTGGCGCTATAGCAGCAGCTAGAACGTTCCACCTGTGAGAGTAAAACTGTAAGGCTTGTCTTCGGCATTCAGACATCAATGTCATAAATGATTATGAGTCATCAGCTGGAAACATCTGGATCTTTTAAAGCCCTAGTTCTGACTGTCTGACCCGTCTCTCCTCCACAGGAAGTGCCGGTACTTCAGTGACGTTCAACAGAAATGGCGATGCTCCTGGACGCTACGACCTGTTCCAGTACCAGTGGAGCAATGTGACTGGACCGGGCTATCGCGTGATTGGACAGTGGACCGAAACCCTGCAGCTCAATGTGAGTCTGCAGTTCTGATCACGCGTTCTGAGTTCTGCTGCCTCTCAGCTCTGGTTTCTGATTTAAAGACTTTAACGGTTGATAAGATCCTCAGACCCTCCAACTGGAGTGTGAAGCAGCTGGGATGAGAATCAGCTCCTCTAAATCTGAAGACCATGGTCTTGATTCTGAAAAGGGTAAAATGCCTTCTCCAGGTCAGGAACGAGGTCCTGCCCCAGTGGAGAAGTTTAAGTATCTCAGGGTCTTGTTCGCGGGTGAGGGAAAGATGGAGCATGAGATTGACAGACGGATTGGTGCTGCATCTGCAGTGATGCAGGCGTTGTACCGATCTGTTGTGGTGAAGAGAGAGCTGAGTCAGAAGGCAAAACTCTTGATTTACCGGTCGATCTACGTTCCTACCTTCACCTATGGTCACGAACTTTGGGGAGTGACCGAAAGAACAAGATCCTAGAAACAAGCGGCCAAAATGAGTTTTCTCCTCAAGGTGGCTGGGCTCTCCCTTAATCAATCAATCAATCAATCAATCAATCAAAGCTTTATTTATAAAGCGCCTTCCACAACCCTGTCAGGAAGCCCAAAGCGCTGAACATGGTACAGTTGTAGATAAATAAATTGAATAAATCAACAATAAAAGCAATTCAAATTACAAAATACAAATTACAAAATACAAATTACAAGATAGATGAAACATTCTGGTACAGGAAAAATGTGTGAAACACATTTGGATTGAGTGGATGGATTGAGTGAACCAATGAAAACTGTGAAATAAATTCAACATAAAAGAGGGCCAAAATCAAACATGTTCTGGAAACGCCAAGCGGAGGAGGTGTGTTTTTAGGTGATTCTTAAAGACTAGCAGAGAGGGGGACAGCCTAACTGAGGGTGGCAACTGGTTCCAGAGTAACGGTGCTAGGACTGAGAAAGCCTGGTCCCCACGGGTACGACACCTAGAACGAATTCTAGGTGTCGTTCTAAGTTAGACATTCTAACATTAAGGTTAGAATGTCTCCTGGACGCCTCCCTGTTGAGGTTTTCTAGGCACTTCCAACTGGGAGGAGACCTAAAGTAAGTCTCAGGACACACTGGCAACTTACACACCATCATCTACTCCATTCCACTCCACTCCGCTGCTCCATCCTGGCTGCGTTTGTTTCACACTTCCTGAGGAATGTGGACGTGATTAAGCACAAGGGCGGTCTGTGGCCTGTGATGTCATGAGCACATCTCCCAGCACGTGGGCAGGGCAAAAGATCACAGAGAAGAAGTCCACGGTGTCTCCATTATTAAACAAAAGTGGCCTAAGCAGTCTTGCTTTTGGAGACTCTAACTCTGATTTTGCATCCTGCTTTGCCGTGTGTGTGTGTGTGTGTGTGTGTGTGTGTGTGTGTGTGTGTGTGTGTGTGTGTGTGTGTGTGTGTGTGTGTGTGTGTGTGTGTGTGTGTGTGTGTGTGTGTGTGTGTGTGCGTGCGTGCATGTGTGTGAGTGTGTGTGAGTGTGTGCGTGCGTGTGTGTGTGTGTGTGTGTGTGTGTGTGTGTGTGTGCGTGCGTGCGCGTGTGTGTGTGTGTGTGTGTGTGTGTGTGTATCCTCACAGCAGTGGGAGAGACAGAGACAAACGGCTTCAGTCAGAGCCTCGTTAACTCCACAGCCACCTGAATGATGATGAATCGTGCATGCGGGAAGCCCCCGCGGGCTGATTCTATCCACCAATCGGATGGATGGATGGATGGATGGATGGATGGATGGATGGGTCAAAACACAGAAGATGGGAGGGGTTTATGAGGTGGTTTGATGTGAAATGATGAAACTGGAGGTGGAGGGATGAGTTTGGGTCTCCGCCCATCCAGAGAGGGTTTACTTCTTCTCTGATGTTTTGGTTTCATCCTGATAAAAGTCTTTTACCCAAACAGGGAGCTTTTCTGACCTGTCTAGGCGAAGAGATCTTAGACACCAAGCACTGTTGTAAAGAGAAAGGAGTTCAGTAATATATGTGGGGCCAGACCATTAAGAGCTTTAAAAACAAATGATGAAATCCTAAAAACCACCTGATATCTGACCGGGAGCCAGTGCAGGACATTAGTTCCAGTCATAAGTCTAGCTGCTGAATTTGTACCCGCTGCAGACACATCAAGGTGCGCTGGCATGGACCCAAGTATCGGGCGGGCTCAGATGTAGGCATGGGCAAGGACTGCCCCCCCAAATGCAATGACATGTAGAAATCCCAAATTTGAAAAGATCTGATGAAAAAGGGTCAGAGTGCTCTCTCTCTCTCTCTCTCTCTCTCTCTCTCTCTCTCTCTCTCTCTCTCCATCCCTCATTCAAAGTAGCTGCTGATTGGTATATGCATAGGGAGGGTGTGGCCAGCCACTGCACTTCGTTCTCTGTGTCTCAGTCGCTTCCATCGACATATTGCTTCACACGATCCCAGCAGACAGTCAGCAGCAGAACACAGAGACGCACCGTTGTTATCTGAGCTCAGCCACTGGTTGAAGTTTTCTTCTATTGTTGGTCACTGGAATTATTTGGTACTCTTTCTCAAGGTTTTAGTTTCCCTCGTTCTCTTCTTTAATTTGTTTTTGAAGTGAATCGAGTCGACATGCGTAGGTTTCTGGTTTCTAAAACTAGCTACAGTGCTAAGGCATTAGCGGCAGAAGCCGGCTCGTCGGCTGCTGCTTCTCAACTCGCCACAACCCCCCGTGTTTAGGGCAGTACTGGAACAACCAGTTGCTCAAGCACTGCAGTCCCTCCTGCTGTCCCCGTCGCTACCAACCCAGCCGTCGTTGTGGGGGACACAGGCCCGAACAGTAGCGCACCGTCCCAACCCACCGCTCTTGTTTTCCCCAAGCGCCATTTTGGGAAGAACATGTGCTCATTTTGCCCTGCCTGGTATCGTGGGAGACCATGGCTGGAATATTCAGTAAAGCTGGATGCGTGCTTTTGTTTCCCATGCCGTAAGTTTGGGGGGAACAATGATAGGGATTTGGCTTTCACAAAACAAGGATTTAATAATTAGAAAACAGCACTGGAAAAGGACAAGGGATTCACAAAGCATGCATCAAGTCAATGCCACATAAAAAATGAAAAAGCCTGGTCTGAAATGTCTCAAAGAGTGACCACAGGGGAAACAATAGGTAATTTCATAAATCCCACACAAATCGAACAAAACACATACTACGTAAAAACTATTGGAGAAGTAGTTCAGTTCCTAGCAGTAAATGAACTAGTGTGGAAAGCTCCAGTGGTGATGATTTCTCTGCAGGACTGTCAGTCATGCTGAATTTATTACCACCCAAATTCTTGAGCATCTCTCTGGCTCAGGTTATAGTGCAGCTGAAATGATCAGTCAATGCTATGATGGAGCTTCTGTCATGAGTGGGGTCAGGGGTGGGGTTCAGGCCTTACTACAGAAGAAGGTAGGGAAGGATATTCCCTACATCCACTGCTACAACCACCAGCTGCACTTGGCAGTGGTCCATGCAATGCAGGCAGAGCCATGTGCAAAAACCTTTTTTGATCTTTCAGGATCTCTACACCCATTTTTCCACCGTCATTATGTTTCACAGAACTATGACGTTCCCTCCCTGAAACGACTGTTGGCGATCAGGTGGACAAGCCACCACGATGTGACCAAGTGCCTTGTGGAGAATCAGGATGTTATTATGAGTATCCTGTCAGAGGTTACAGAGGACAGATGTAATTATTTAAATTACATGTTATTTAATAAGTCATAAGACATGAGATTCCATAGCAAATATGAAATCACCCTTATGGCTGTGTGTACTGTTTAACCAGAAGATTGGAACTTTTTATTGCAGGGATTAGATACAACCTCGTATTAATTCAGAGACAACTGAGGAGAGAGAGTCAAGTTTATAAGTTTAAAGATGTATTACTAAACAAATTAAACTAGACTAACTTTAACACTAAATGTATGGTGTAACTAAGGTGAATGAGACGAAGAATGGTGTAGTGTGGAATGTTGTTCAGAACCAGCAAATCCGAAGAAACGATTAGTTCTGATGGGAAATGAAGGGATGTCTTCGCGCTAAGCTTTGGTTAGCAGATTCATAACACACATTGAGACGCCATTCTCTCGGCCTACGTACCCTTGTGGAAGTCCCCGTTAGATCAGGAATGTCAAGGTCCAGCTGGACCGTCTCTGGAACCGAAGCCGGTAGGAAAAGCAGCGGTTGCCGACCAGACCAGTCTTTGAGATACTTCCGGGTCATGATGGTTCTGCTGGCATCTAGTGAGACCCAAAACTGGGTCGTGATGGTTCAGCTTTTACTCTGAAAGGAACCGTTGCAGCAGTTGGAACAGCAACAGATTTTATCCAGCTTGTCGCTGGTTCTTTTGGCTGAAGAGGAAAGTTACGGATTGGCCACTCCGACAACTTCTCTAGAACGCTTTGAACTGGCGTTAAAGATGACGTGGGCATAGTTTTATACTTCGGATGTTTTGGTTTATGGTTGAATGAAAAAAATGACAGATTTACCAAGCACCACCAAAACCACGCCTCCGTCAAATCTGGCAGATTCTGATTGGATCAGTAAAGCAATGTGTCTTCTCTTGACGCTACGTGAGATCAGTCCTAGTGGAAACATTTAAAGTCACATTACTTGTTATATTCTGTAGGATTATAATAAATTAATTCATATTTTGATTTCACAGATTGGTCACATCTTATTTATTGACTAACACTTTGTTTGATTAGCTTTATTAAAATAGAGTTCTTTGATTTATTAAAAGGAGAGAGTCCATTCTTCATTCTTCTCCTGAGCTGGAAAGAAAGCAGTTTATAGCAAATGCATGAGACCTTGAGGCCATATCTCATGCAGACTAGTTCTGTGTCAGAGGAGAGGGGGGAAATGACTTTTGGTGGAAACAAGTTAAGGAGGCATCACTTCTTTGAAATAGGAAATTTCCTCCTAAAAGTTCTGGGTTCCTTGAAGTCTGCAAATTCTATGCTGCAGTCTCACTCTGTTGACCTGTGCTGTCCTTC